GGAAGCCCAAAACCAAATATTTTTAAAGAGAACAAGTTCTTGTCCCCATGACTGCCCTGCACATCAGCAGTTTCCCAGCCATTGGTTGGTATCCCATGATGCTGCCCTACACAACCCTCACACTCAAAAGTGTTTTTGAAGCATATTTTGGAGGGAATGTAGGCAACTTGGAGAACCCCCACTCACCCTTCTCCTCATAAGGCCTCTTCAGACTCTCCTGGAATTTTGTTAGCTCAACAATGCAACAGTCACAAAGGCAAGGTGATGCTCAGTGAGAAAAATTAGCCAGGTGATCTCCAGTATCACTTCTACCACCTACCAGCTGTGTGACCTTGGGCAACACACTCAACTCTGAATTCTCTATTTCCTTCTCTGTACAAATGGCAATATTAATACCTACTTAAAATATATTCATTAAAAAATAAAATTTATTCGTTAAACAAAATAATGGACGGGAAATTTTCTAGTACAGATCTTGGTACCTACTAGGTATCTGAAAAATATTTTCTTTCTCTCTCTCTCCTTCCCTTCTTTCTCTCCTTTTGCCAGAGTTTGTGCTAGGTGCTGCTGGAAATAAAAACACACGGATGACCTAGAACCTGCCCTTGAGATACTTGACCATAGTACAAGGCAGTACAGTGTTCTGCTAGAGGGGCAAGTGAGTTGCCTAGTAGAGCCCAGAGGAGGGAGGAATTGATTCCATGTGGGCAGTTGAAGAAACCATGAAGGAGGAAATAGCTTTTCAGAAAGAACTTCATGAATAGGTAGGATTTCTCCACTTCTTTTCCCTTCCCTTCTCTTCCATTCTCCTTCTTAACCAAGTATTGACCCAGAATTTTAAATGTCCAGAGGCAGGGAAGGCTCAAAGCACATTCTGATTAAGACTCTGGCTCTGTGTCTTTCTGGTCCTTCAGGTTGGCTCTCCCTCTTGTATTGGCTTTGTCCTCTGGGTGGTTGGATACCAGAGAGCCACCCAGTGTCTCCTGCAAACACAATTCCCAGAAAAATGTCACATGTGCAAACAAATGTTTGCATACAATGTAGAGGTTCATAAACTCTCTGGAGCATCCGTTGGTCCCAGATCTAACAACTCTGAATGAAGGAAACAGCCCTGTAGATAAAGTGATGGCCATGGTACTCACTCTTCCTTCCTTTTGAGGTATACTTAAAAGGGGAGTTCTCAGTTGCAATTAGGATAAGCTATCCTGAGTCCTTTCTTTAAAAGTGGGGCCCCAGAGTCAGACTTGCTTGGGTGAGGAAAGCAAGATTTTAGCAGGTAGTAATGAGGGACAAAGGTGGTCCTGGCTGAGGAAATGGTGTGAGCATAGAAAGGCACTGTGACAGGTGAGCTTAGGGCTATTTGGAGAAGGTGAGTAGACAGGCGTGACTCCATCAGGGAGAGTCCCAGTGCTGACTTAGAGCCACACTGGGCACAGCTTGAGGGGTAGGAGTGGACTTTCTCAGTCCAGGCAGTGGAATCACTGAACTGTTACATAGTGTTTATCCTAGCTGTAACTCTACACATTCCATGTGATTATTTGATTCCTGCTTGCCCTCCCGCACTGGTCTACCTTCTCAGATGAGCACAGGCACTGTGTCTCTTTCTGCTCCCCTCTGTACCCCCAGCCCTGGTTGAGGGCCTATGATCTAATAATGTTCAATACATATTAGGGAAAAGAACAGGTGGATGAATGGTTTCTGAGTGGGGAGAGACACGTCTGGGTCACTGTTGTTCACATGTGTGAGCTTTGGTACTTGATTTTATTCTCCTTCCTTGTTCCCTTCTTTGCTCATTGGTGTTTATCACACAGGGGTAGCAACTGGCATCTTATCAGCCAGGCCTTCCTCAGTCTGGACAGATCAGACCATCTGAGTTTTCCAGTGAAGTGTGCAAATGACCCTCGGCATCTGCCAAGCCCTTGTCCTGTGCACACACTATTTGACCGGAGGCAACTTGAAATAATGTAAAAACATGCATTTTTGGACTGAGAAAGATTATTTCAAATTTTAGCTCTGCCTCTCATTGTAAGTCTCTGAGGAAATTACCTCACTTCTCTGAATCTGTTCCTCATCTATAAAACAGCAATGATAATAAATATCTACTTTATAGTGCTGTTGTATTAAATGAGCTGGTTGGGCCGGCTCATAGTATGTGCTCTTTTTTTTTTTTTTACATTTTATTTTATTTTCTCATTGTGTACTTGAAAATCACAAGAAAGTATTTATTTTATTTTTTCCTGATTTTAAAAGCAACTTCTTGCTCAGTGTAGAAAACTTGGTCTGTACAGCAAGGTCTAAAAAACAAATTACTGTAATAACTTTATCTACAAAACTCTATTGAGATAACCACTATTAGCATTTTGATGTATTCCTTTCTAGTATTTTCTCTACTTGTGAGAAATGTCATTTATTTTAAATAGATAGTTCCTCCACATGGCACCCAATTGGGGTACAAAAAGGTAAACAGTGAAAAGTAATTCTCCCTGTCTACCCTCACTCCGCCCACCAGTTCCACTTCCCAGAGGCAACCTTGTTACCAGGTTCTTAGGGGGCCTCCCAGGGACAGTCTACATATTTAGAAAATCTCTTTGATTTTCATATCATCTTTTTCTCAGGCAAATGCTGGCAAGGTGTACCTGCCGTTCTGCTCTGGAGGCTGCCATCTAAGTGAGTTCCCTTTCAGCCCTCATGATGTCTCTGTGGGCAGAGCCGCAGAGGGGTCTGGTTACAGCTTCTGAGGGCTCAGCGAGCCTTGGTCTCGGTTTTATATTTTTACTCTTTGAACTGAAAATCTGCAAACAACTAAACAGGTGTTAGATTTCTCAGTCTCAACTGTTTCCTCAGTTGCTCATGCAAGGAGCAGATCTGCAGGCCGTTGGGGCCAGCTCACAGGGTGGTCTGAAGCAGAATGTAGGTGTTCTCCAACATTGACCATCAGGTCAGTGTTTTCTGAATTGACAATTGAAAAGTGTGGTCTGACAGGGTAAGATAGTATTTTGCAATTGGGATTGATCCCCCCATATTAGGGACGTGTGCCCCCTAGAATGCTCTGGAGTGAAGAACAAAGCCTAAGTCAATATGGTCCACCCTAAGACCAGTCCTGTCCCCTCCCTTCAGGACCCATAACACTACCACCCCCAGCTCCTGTCATTAGAGTTTCTCCTCTGCAGGCTGCGCCCTCCCACTTGGTCAGGCCTGCCCATCTGTACTCTCAGTAGGCCCCGTCTTCAGACCACCCCTCCCCAACAGGCCCTGTCCCCTCAGCCTCCCTCTTTGCATCCTTCTTCTAACTGGTCAAACCAAGAACATTGACAACTTGACCCTCTAAAGGGCCCAGTGGGCAAGGAGGGAAGGTAGGAAGTTAAACTCTTTCAAAGCTGAGCTCCAGAGAGCAGCAAATAGAATGGACAGGTGCATTTGAGACATCTCATCTGTAAAATGAGTATTAAATAATATGATGAATACAAAAGGGCTTTGTAAGCTGCAAAGTGCTAGATATGCATATGGGACTCATATTCTTATGAAGACGATGATAATTTAAAAATAAGTCATGGAAGCCAATTTTACAAATAAATTTTTTTATTACAAAAGTGTTACTTATTCATTTTAGAAGATTTAAAAAGTATATAAATAAACAAAATAAGAAAAAAAAATCTCGGAACTTCCCTGGCAGTCCAGTGGTTAAGACTCCATGCTTCCAATGAAGGGGGCACAGGTTCAATCCCTGGTCGGGGAACTGAGATCCCACATGCTGCACTGCTCGGCCAAATAAATAAAGAAAAGAAAAAAGGGAAAAAAAGAAAAAAAAATCTCATAGTGTTATTACAGAGTGTGGTGCCTTGTATTATTTATACAGTATATTCCATCTGTTCCTATGGGACCTGTTTCTGTGGGAGGATTATTGTTGCCTTGACAACAAATTTTGCCCCGTGACTTACTCTGGCCAGTTAAGTGTGAGTGGAAATGGCATGTGCCACCTCTCAGCAAAAGTTTTAAGAGCCTTTATGTGGTTTGCCATCTTTTTTCTCCTTCTGTCACAAAACTGGCATGTCAAGAGCTTTTCTATCATCCTTGGTCTTGGACTGAAGCCCTGTGAGCCCTGTAATGTGAGTGAGAAATAACATTTATTGTTGTGAGCCCGTGAGATTTGAGGGTTGTTTGTTACTGCAGCATAATTTGTCCCAAGATACCTGATACACAGAGATAACAACTGTTAATATTTTGGTTTATATCCTTCAGTCTTTTTTTATGCCTATATTCAATATATATTTTTCTTTATAAAAAGAGGATCATAATGTATGTATGATTTTGTGAAGTGCCTTCTCATTTCACCTGAAAATATTTCAGTATATAGCTCCAAAAGATGAGTTTTCTTTAAGCATAACCACAACACGATTACCACACTTAAAATTAATAATAATTGCTTCATATCACCAAATGTTGGTCACTGTAAACATTTCTCTTCTAAAATTTTATTTAAGTCAGGGATCCAAATAAGCTGCATACTTTGTAGTAGGTTGATATATCTTTTAAATCTCTTTTTGTGCGTCGGCTCTCCCTCCCTGCCCCACCCCCCTTTTTCTCTTTCCCCTTTTGATGTATTTGTTGAAGAAGCCGAACTGGTTGCTCTGTAGAGTTTCCCACAGTCTGGGTTTTGCTAATGTATTCATGTGGTGTCATTTAACATGTTCCTCTTTCCCCTATGTTTCCTGTAAGTTGCTGATTAAATCTAGACACTTGATCAAGATTCAGTGAATGGATTTTTCAACTCAATACATTATGAACATTTTCCATGTCATTTAATATTCTTCTACAACATGCTTTCTTAATGACCATACAGCTGTCAAAAATATGAATGTATTTTAATTTATTTAGCTAGTCCTCTATTGTGGGTCACTTAGGTTGTTTCTAAATTTTTGCTACTACACACAACTCACTGATAAACCTCCTTGTGGACTAGTCATTTTCTGGCCTGATTTGCTGCCCTTCTGTTCTCTTAGTTCCTGCGGATGGTGGATGCCTGTGCGAGCTTCCTCACAGAAGCCTTGAACCCAGAAAACTGTGTTGGAATACTGAGGCTGGCAGACACACATTCCTTGGACAGTCTAAAGAAGCAGGTTCAAAGTTACATCATCCAGAACTTTGTGCAGATTCTGAACTCCGAAGAGTTCCTTGAACTTCCTGTGGATACCCTGTACCACATCTTGAAGAGTGATGACCTTTATGTGACAGAAGAGTCTCAGGTGTTTGAGACTGTGATGAGCTGGGTCAGGCACAAACAGTCAGAACGACTCTGCTTGCTCCCCTATGTCCTGGAGAACGTGCGCTTGCCGCTTCTGGACCCATGGTACTTTGTGGAGATGGTGGAAGCGGATCCTCTCATCAGACAATGCCCAGAGGTCTTCCCGCTGCTACAGGAAGCCAGGATGTACCACCTTTCTGGCAATGAGGTGAGTTGATGATGAGAGATGCCGTATATAACCAGCAAAGTGAAGGAATTAGCAGACCTCCCAGAGATACAGGTGAGACTGGCTCACAAATCATTAGGGCATCAAGAAGTAGATGCTGTAGATGTTTATAGTTTGAGTCAGGCAGTTCCAGAAGCCCTGGATTTCTGATCTGTAAAATGCCGATAATACTACATGGTAGACAGCTACTGAGAGAATTAGGTGAGATCTGGAAATCACCCAGCACCATGCCTGGCACATCCTTCCCCTTTCCAGTTGTGTAAGGGCGGGAGTTTGGTGGGGGAGACACACATATGAAGGGAGTGTGCCCTGTCCAGTCACCATTCCACAGGGCTGCTGCTTTCCCAGTTTGTCCACTCTGGGGAAACCTTGAGACTCTTATATCTCCCCTGACATTACCTAGGTTCAGACTCTCATTATTTCCTTCCTGAACCTCTGAGAATTCCTCAAAACTCAGCTTTCTGCCCCCAGTCTGGCCGCCCTGCGATTCATTCATCAGCTGGATGATCTAAAACTCAAGCCTAATCATTTCACTCCTGGGCTTAGCCTCTTCACTGGCTCCCCACCACTTTCAGGATAAAGCCCACACTTCTGCCTAAACTCTCTGAGCCTGGTCTCTTGCTCGCTGCTCTAGTGTCATCTGCAACCTCTCTCTCCTGCTAGTCTGAGTGCACTGCTTGTAATTCCCCAAAGCGGACACGCTTTTTCAGCCTTCAGGCTAATGCAGGTGCTGCTCAAATGACTTTTTCCTCTTCTTCATCTAGTTAACTTCTGCTCCAGCTTCAAAACTCAGTTTAAGCATCACCTTCTCCAGAGGCCTCTGTCAGTCTCATAGCACTGGAGCATTGCTCTGTTATAGCACCAACCACTGCATGTTAACCATTGACTTCCTCATCTCTAAATATCTCTAGACAGGGAGGTTGTTATGGTAGGAAATATGTCTTATTGGACTTTTCATCCAGACCTTAGGAGAGTCCTTGGTATATAGCAAGGGATTGGTTAATGTTTGTTGAATGAATAAATGCGTACCAAGATAGTGAATAAACATATCATTTGTATCTACCTGGTTCTCCTTAACAATTCCTGAAGAAATGTTATATTCAGAACTTTATAAAGACAAGAATAGGCTTAGTGGAGAGGAACAAAATAATCATTAAGTAACGATAGAGGGGCAGTTTGTTACGTTTGTACACATGAACAGCCACACATGTATACCACTATACAATGGTTCTGAGGTTGGCTACCAAGCCTTCTTCATTAGGCCATTGGTAGAAATATTAGCCAAAATAGTTTAGGAATTGTCTTTCAGAGGCCCCTTGGGAGCCCCTTCTTTTCTGTCTGTCCTTTTCTAGTTCTGTGTTGTCCTCAGATCCATTGTCACTTATTCACTCTGCAAACACATCCTTAAATATTTGGTAGAATTTATCAGTGATGCTATCAGAACCAGGAGGAATTTTTTGTGTATGTGAGAAGGTTTTAAACTTCAAACTACAAATTGTATTTCTTTAATAGCTATATAGATACAAGAGACTATTCACATTATCTATTTCTTCTAGAATGAGCTTTGGTAGTTTGTATATTTCAAAGAATTTTCCATTGCATAGAAGTTGCTGAATTTATTGGCATAAAGTTGTTCACAGTAGTCCCTTATTATCCTTTTTAATATCTGTAGAATCTGTAGTGATGTTATAGCTCTTATTCCAGATATTGGTAATTTGTGTCTCCTTTTTTCTCCTGATCAGTCTGGTTAGAGGTTTATCAATTTTATTGATTTTCTCAAAGAACCAGCTTCTGGTTTCACTTGACTTTCTCTACAGTCTTTACATTTTCTATTCCATTTATTTCTACCTTAATCTTGACTACTTTCTTCTGCTTACTTCAGGTTGAATTTTCTCTTCCTTTTCTAGTTTTTTAGGGTAGAAATAAAGGTCACTAATTTGAGATTTTTTTTCTAATATTGCCATTAGTGCTATAATTTCATATGCTATACTTTCATTCTTCACAAATAAATCCTGAACACCAACTATATCCCAGACATGGCACCAAGCACCACAAAACAGTCTCTACCTTACTAAACTTATGGTCTTTCAGAGAAGACAGGACACTAAGCAAATGAAGGGTGATAAGCAGACTGATAGAGGAAGACCAGATAACCACAAGGGTCCTATGCTGGATATGTGGGTCACTGGCAGTTGGCTCAGCACTGGGAAAGCCCTCATATTCCTGAATACAAGATCAGTCTCTGCAACTGCTCTCAGTACAGCATTTAAAGTACAGTCTTGGGGCTTCCCTGGTGGCGCAGTGGTTAAGAACCCAATGCAGGGGGCATGGGTTCAAGCCCTGGTCCGGGAAGATCCCACATGCCGTGGAGCAACTAAGCCCATGCGCCACATCTACTGACCCCGCGAGCCACAACGACTGAATCCCGCGCGTCTAGAGCTTATGCTCCGCAACAAGAGAAGCCAGCGCAATGAGAAGCCTGCGCACCGCAACGAAGAGTAGCCTCTGCTCACTGCAACTAGAGAAAGCCCATGCACAGCAACAAAGACCCAACACAGCCAAAAGTAAATAAAATAAAATAAATAAATTTTTTTAAAAACTTAAAAAAAAAAAACCAAAGTACAGGGTCTTGATCAACTGTACTTCCAACATTCTTGCTATTTTTGTTTCTGCTTCCCATTTCCTAACTCCCTGAAATGCAGGTGATAAAGGCTTTCCTCTTATATAAAATGTCCCAACTATGTCTTCTGCAAAACTGCTGCTATGAAATATCTGCTCTGCCTTTTGTATTTGCAATGGGGTGGGGGTGGGGGAGTGGGATTATAAGCTTTGGATTTAGGAGGAGAGAGAATTCTGATAACTAGAAAATGTCAAGAACTTGAGCTCCCAGTCAGGCAGATCTGGGCTTTAATCTTGACTGCACAATTTACCTACAGTGTGACCTTGGGCAAGCTACTTAGCTGCTGTAAGGCTCAGTCCTTGTAACATGGGGAAAACAATATCTACCAACTGATAGAATTGTTTTGAGAATGAGGTAAGATAATGAATGAGATGTGCTAGCACAGTGTCTGGCATATGTTAAGTGCCCCAGAAATAAAGACTCTTCCTATTCTCACTCAGTTCTTTATGGTACTCTATCTCCCACAATCAAGCATTTTCTTTCTCTGAGGCTAAAATCTCTCTTTTCATTGTGTCCTAGTTTTTTTCTGCCTTATTGCCCCAAATCCTGCTCAGGGCATTTTCTCATCCTCATTTTATAGTCTAGGTAACTGAACCAACCAAACATTGTGATCTCTGAGTTGTGTCTCATTGCTAGTTGATTCCCTGAAACTCCCAGCCTTCCCGCTGCTTGTGTGATCTTGGCTTTATTCCTAATGACACTAGTGTAAGCCTGGAGGATACTTTGTGAACACATTTCTCCTCCTAACCTTCCTTTTCCAAACTTTAACCCTGCTTGTCCTATCATTATCTCTCCATTTTAACCTTGTCCCTCCTCTGAGCTCATGGAAGTGGTAACAGAAGGAAGTTTTAGAACCCTAAAAGCAAATGTCAACTTACATTTGATTTAGGAGTAGTAGCTGGTACCTTCATTGGGAGAGGTCTTTTGGGGCAGAGAAAGTTACCCCTTCATTTCATTGCCTCCTAAGTCTCCAGGGACCAACTTGATCTATACCAAAGGCTGCTCTGATATGTGTGCTGTCAGGAGGACCTACTCCTGAGGGCAGCGGGGCAGAAGCTCACCCTGAGGAGCTTTATCCAGGCAGTTTGGTCACTTCTGTTTGGTGCTCTCAGATAGGTTCTTTGGACAATGAGTAGTCAGTAAGGGGAAACTTTTTTGCTCTACTTCTAACAGTCTGAAAATAAACTGTGTAGGCCTGATGGTTGCGTGTGATTCTTTGGCAAACACTTACTTCCGTGTGTCTGCAACAAACTTGCCCATCTCTGACTTCAGATTGGCGTTTGTCATGCCTTTGGGGTTAATATTTTGCAAAACGTAGCCGAACTTATAATTTGGTAATGGTGCCACCATCTGGCAGTCCTGTGGTTCCGAGTTACAAGGCAGGTCTCAATACCCAGCCAGTCCCATCAACTAGATGATTGTATTAGTTATCTATTGCTGTGCAACAAATTATCCCCAAACAGCTGTTTAAAACAACAAACATTTATTATGTCACAGTTTGCAGGAATCTGGGAGTGATTCAGCTGGGTGATTCTGGCGCAGGGTCTCTTCTGAAGTTGCAGTCCATCTATTGGCTGGGGCTGCAGTTAGTCATCTCAAAGCTCAAAGGGGGCTGGAGGATCCACTTGCAAGTTCCCTCGCAGGATTGTTGACAGAAGTCACTTCCTTGCTGGCTGTTGGCTGGAAGCCTCAGCTTCTTGCTACTTGGGCTTCTCCATTGCAGCTGTCTTTCTTTAGAGCAAATGACCCAAGAAAGACTGAGAGAGCTGTCAAGATGGAAGCTGTAGTGCCTTCATAACCTAATTTCAGAAGTGGTATACCAACACTATTGTATTCTATTGGCATAGAGATCAACCCAGGAATAATGTGGAGGGAACAACATAGGATGTAAATACCAGGAGGTGGGGATTGCTGGGGGCCATTGTGGAAGCTGGTTACCACAATGATCTAGACTGGAAAAAAAAGTCTTTATCAGGTCCTGGGTTAACTAACTTGCCCATTCATTCATTCATTCATTCAGCCAACATTTATGGAAACCCACAAGCTCCAGGCACTGTTCTTGGTGCTGAGGATCCATTGGAGAAAAGGGCTATCCCTGCCATCAGGGACATTAGAATAAATTACACGAGGGTGAAAAGCGCTGTGATAGGGAAATTCAGGACTGTGGGAACAGGTGTGGAAAGGCAAGAATGGCTTCCTGGAGGAAAGAACAAAATGACATTGAAAATAATGTCAAGTGGCTTACAGGGTAAGTGGTTGGGAAGGTAGTGTGGGCAATCGAGGGCAGATATTATGGGGAGATGCAGACAGCAGGCAGGAATGCAGGCTTCAGTCAGGGGGAGCAGAGTCTTCCACAGGCCAGGACTCGGGACCGGGATGCCAGCCCTGGGAGTCAGGAGTAAGATCATGGCTGGTTTGGTCCCCTGCTAGTCAGCAGGCTGTTGATGCAGGAGAGCAGACACTGTGAATAAGATGGGAGTCTTCAGAGAGGAGGCTGAGGCTTGGCTCTCAGAACCAGAGTAAGGGTCACAGGGAACCAGTTCTGAGAAGCTAGTGCTGTCCTCTAAGTATCGCCCTATAATCCCTAAATCCTCCCTGCAAGAGGATCAGATTGGTGCTAGAGGTTGTCCCTCAGCTGTGGGAAGGAAGGTTTAGAGGCTGGAGGGAGAAATCTCAGATTGGCCAAGTTTGTCTTTGGTGCCAACTCATTGCTCATTCCTCTCCTACCAGCTTGGTATTCTCATAGTGCCTCCAAGTTCTCGGGACCACCCCTTCCACCCTTATCCCAGCTGGCCTTTCCACTGTCAGTGCCCTCAGTCTCAGCCCATTGCCCAGGATTTAAACTGCCACACACCTCCACTCCTTTCTGCTGACCCATAAAGGAAAGTCCTGCCACAGACTTTATGGCCATGGTCTGGCCTCAGTAACTGAGGATGCAGAATTTACTGTATCTGACTATTGGCCCAGAAAAACAAAGTCTCTTCTGGGAAAGTAGACGTTGGATGTTGGCTGACCTGATTACATGTGACTATTGATTGGATTCACCACTTGTGGACTCAGGTGAACTGTTTGTCACCATCTGTGGGCAAGATTGAAGTTCCATAATCCATATTAGGTCAGCTTAACCTTGTAGGAAAGAGTAGCTGCTTTGGCCATGTGGGAAATAGGTGCTGCTGCCTCTCTGTCTCCCATCAGTACCCCTGTAGAACCTTCCGCATCAAGCCCAGGGATGGCTGGAACCAGGAGGAGGGCAGCTCTCCCTTTTCATTAATTACATCAATATGACATCTCCCACCACTCCTACTGCCGTGACTAGCTATGGAGGGCCACGCGTGTGCCAGGTGCTCTTCTCAGCTCTCTACATCACAACCTCATGGATGCTCACAATGGCATGGTAGCATAGGAATGATCACAGGCATTTACAGAGATTGTGTTGCTTCTCCAAGGTCACGTGGCCATCGGTGGTGGAACCAGGATGGAACTCTGGTGTATTTGACTCCAAACCTCTGCTCTTTCAGCTGGGTTCAAATATCTGTGGTATGGATATCTTTGCTTGTTCAAGGCTCTGAAGGGTCATATGCTTGATGTTGGGACCCAGTCCCCCAACCTCCTTGGACACACCCTTGCTCCCTTTTGGTTCTTTTCTCCTAAGTTTCTGGATGCTCTTATGTGCCCTCAGGACTTCTCTTCCAGAAAAGGCCTGGTAGCGAGTGAAGTCTGGGATATCATCAAGAAACTGAAACCAGTGGGGAGTGGAAGGTGGCCAGAAATGAAATTCCAGGATTCAGTGCTTCTGACCAAGCAAGAGGGAAGAGGCAGGAAAGTGCATTTGATGGTAGACAGACCTGAACTTCTTAAAAAGTAGCAAAATCTACAACCGATAACCTTTATTGAGTACCTACTATACATCCGGCCCTGGGCCAAGCACACTAAATATATTATCTCATTTAATCCTCATGACAAACCTATGAGGTGGTTACCACTAAAATTTCCATTATACAGAAGAAAAACCTGAGGCCCAAGGAGGGGAAGTCACATGGTCCTACGGTGGCAGAGTTGGGAATTGGGCTCTGCTCCTCTGGCTCCATAGCCTGAGCTCTGAACCACTGTGCCATTCTGCCTTTTTGTACTCCCATTGATTTTCCAGATCATTTCGGAGCGCACCAAGCCCAGGATGCATGAGTTCCAGTCTGAGGTGTTCATGATCATCGGTGGCTGCACGAAGGATGAACGTTTTGTGGCGGAGGTAACCTGCCTGGATCCCCTGAGGCGCAGCCGCCTGGAGGTGGCCAAGCTCCCCATGACAGAGCACGAGCTGGACAGTGAGAATAAGAAGTGGGTGGAGTTTGCATGCGTGACATTAAAAAATGAGGTCTACATCTCAGGTAAGCAGAAGCCACGTGATGCCAAAGCCAGCCCCCAAGGCACTACATGTTTTCCTGAGTGAGAGACAGGCAACCATCCCAGGAGAATTACTGTGGATGGCACTGATCTAGCACTAACTGGGTCAGGATATGGAAACCAGGCACTCAGATGGTCTTATTGTGGAGAGGGAATAATTACTGAGTGAACCCTAATCCTTGAGCAGTATTGTAGTAGGAACTGGGAGAGCAGGCAGATAGGACTTCCTTCATGGAAAAGGAAGAAGGAAAGTGGTACTAGAGTTTATTCGGTGTCTGTTATAGGCATAGGACACTGAGCTAGCCACTGGAAATACAGTAATGAATAAATATGTCTGCTCTTCCCCCCAAATCTGACCTCTCCCCTCAAGTTTATTAGGTCTTACTTTTAGATGCTCCAACAGCATCCAGTACTTTTTCATTTCTACTTCTAAGTTGTTTGCTTAATTGTTTATAATTGCTCTATGCCTGTTTCCCATTAGTCCTTAAATTCCATGAATCAACACTGTATTCCCAATACCTAGCGCTGTGTCTGGCCATAGTAAATGCTCAATAAATATTTATTAAATGATGTAATCTCTACCATCTTTACAGCATAGTAGATGAATTTACTCTTTGGTAGCAATTAATTATTGCCTCTCACATCAGCTCTATAATGTAGGTGATTTTAATCTCCGGATTACAAATGGAGAAAACCGAGGCTCAGAAAGGTATGGAACTTACCTAAAGTCACACACTTGTAAGCGTCAGGCAGGATTCCAATCCATGTTCTCTGAGTCTTATGGTCTCCCATGACATTAAAAGCCACCTAGCTCTTCTTGCAGCACCAAGGGAAAAGACAAACATCCCTTCCCTTCTCTTGGCGGTTTTCTTTAATCTGAATTCGTTTTGGAAAGAGCTTATTCCCAGAGCTGGTCTCCTCCAAGATAAAGGGCAGGTCAGTTCTTCTTTGAGCCTATTAATACCACAGACTAGGGTTTAGCTTTCTTTTATCTTACAGAAACATTTTTAAATTGTTGTAGAAGATTTAAGCAATACAGGGAGTGTAAAGTAAAATATGGCAGTTTCTCTGTGCCATCACAATCCTACATGTTTTAATTTTTTTTTTTTTTACAAAAATGGTTTTATATTGTCTTAGAGTAAGTAATGCCAGCTGCTGTAACAAACCCTGAATCTCAATGAATCACCAGAGAAGTATGTGTGGGTTGGGGGAGAGCACCTGCTCCACTCAGTCATTCAGGGACCTAGGCTCCTTCCATCTCATGATGAGGCTGTTTCCAGACGTGACCTTCAAGCTTGATGCATTTCGGGAAGAGAGAGAAGCCCAACAAGTTGAAAAGACACACCTGCTCACAACAGCCTCGGCCTGGACATGAGGCATCAGTTCTGCTCACATTCTATTGGCAAGAACCAGCTGCATGCCCTCCCTGCACCCCCGCCCCCCATGCAGTGGGGCTGGGAAATGTAGTTTAGCCGTGTGCCCAGGAGGAAAAGACAGGTTTGGTAATCATGGTCAGTCTTTGCCACATACACTACACATAGTGTTTTATTCTACAACTTGTCTTTTGTCCGTCTTCAGTTTGTTGTTGTCTTTTAAAAAATGATACAGGCTGCTAACACATATATATGGAATCTAAAAAAAAAAAAAAAAGGTCATGAAGAACCTAGGGGCAAGACGGGAATAAAGACACAGACCTACTAAAGAATGGACTTGAGGACACGGGGAGGGGGAAGGGGAAGCTGGGACGAAGCGAGAGAGTGGCATGGACATATATACACTACCAAACGTAAAATAGATAGCTAGTGGGAAGCAGCCACATAGCACAGGGAGATCAGCTCGGTGCTTTGTGACCACCTAGAGGGGTGGGATAGGGAGGGTGGGAGGGAGGGAGATGCAAGAGGGAAGAGATATGGGGATATATGTGTATGTATAACTGATTCACTTTGTTATAGAGCAGAAACTAACACACCATTGTAAAGCAATTATACTCCAATAAAAATGTTAAAAAAATAAAAAATAAAAAAATAGAAAAAAATAAAAATGATACAGGCGATACATGAAAGCATGCTTGTTGTACTAAATCAACAGAAATGTGTGCTCAACTAACAGTCTGTTCTGAACATCATTACATGTTGGCATAATTGATCTACTCTATGTGTTAAGCAATGTAATACATGTAGAGTACAGCACAATCCCGAGCACGGGGTGAGAGCTCAGCAGTGTTAGTCGTCATGCTCACTACTGCGAGGATTGTTATTACTGCTCATTTCACCAGCTTCAGGGCTGTCTATGGAATGAATGAACCATAATTTTTTTCAGCTTTTATTTTCCCACTGAAAAAAATACCACAATAGGCATTTTCATACATATATATTTATGAACTTGCGCTGATATATGGAGAGATTCCTGGAAGTGGTCATAAGATGTGTAAATTTAGAGTTTTTGTAGATATTGCTAAATTGTCCTCCAGAAAGTTTGTACCAATTTACAGTTCAACCAATGATGAATGTCAGTGCCCATTTTCTACATCCTTGTTAACATTTTTTATTATCAATTACATTTTTAATAGACTTGATTGTGTAAATTTACACTCTTAGATCATTAATGAGGTTGAATATATTTTCATATATTTATTAGCTAAACATATCTGTTTTTTAAAAATGATCTGTTCCTACCCTTTGTTTTTCTATTGGTTGTCTTTTCCTTATTAATTTTTTGGAGTTCTTATTATATATCCTTTGCTATTTGTATTACAAATACTTTCTCCCAGACAGTGGGGTTGTCTTTTAACTTTGATTTATATTTTATATAGTAACTTTCTTTTCTATATGTTCTAGGTTTCTTGTCATGCTTAGAAAGCCCCTCCCCACCCCAAGATCATTAACATCTTCTCCTATATATTCTCCAGTTACTTCTATAGCATTTACATTTAAATTTTAAGTATAATGTGAAACAGGGATCTAAATTTTTCTCTAAACAGATAGCCAGTTGTTCTAATGCCATTTATTTAATAATCTCTATATCTTTTAGTCTGTTTCTGTACCTTGTTTTTAATTGATCAGTTTGTCTTATACTAGTAGCACATTATTTTTATTATCACAGCTTTTTAGTATATTTTGATATTTGCTAGGGAGAGCTCTCTCATTCCTCCTTCTTTTTCAAAAGTTTCTTAGAAATGTTCCCAAATCTACTCTTCCAAATGAAGCTTAGAATGGTCACTTCATGTCCTGAAATCCATGAAAAGCCCTGAAGGCACCTAATATACAGGTTAACTTGGGGAGGGTTGACATCTTTGCAATAACCTGTCTTATCATCTGTGCACATGATATGCCTGCCCAGTTAATCAGGTCTTCTTTTACATCCTGAAGTAAAAAAATTGTCTGACTGGGATCAATATCACAGTGTTTTGAATAGAGACCTCTAAGAGGTATACAACACCCCTCCCCCAGAATGGTTAAACTATATGAACAAAAAGATAACAGGAGAGGATGAAGCTCAGTCTCCCTAGCAGCCAGGGGAAACCAAACTATGGCATCATTTTTCTCCCTCAGGCTGTAAAACAAAACAAACCAACCAAAAAAACCTTCCTAATATCTGCTGTGGGTGGGGTATGGGGAAAAGTCAACCAGGACAGCTTTGGAAGGTTCTTTGGTATCACCTGTAGAAATTCAAGGTGGGCACACCATTGACCTAGGAATCCCACTTCTGGGCTCCACCCTTGAGAAACACTTACCCGTGACACAGAGCGTCATTAATGATATTCATTTCCACACTAGTGCACATTTTAGTCTGAAAGGTACATCCTTTGTTTTAGGTAGTTGGTAGTACTCTGTGCTGATGGGGAAATGGAAACACAAAGTCATTAAAATATTTTATTAAAGTCACCAGAAAAGTCAGCTCTGCTTTGTCTTGGTCTCTCTCCCTAACTGAATTACATATTTTCTATTTATTGAGTTGTCTTGAAAAAATGTTTTACTGATGGGGAAATGGAAACACAAAGTCATTAAAATATTTTATTAAAGTCACCAGAAAAGTCAGCTCTGCTTTGTCTTGGTCTCTCTCCCTAACTGAATTACATATTTTCTATTTATTGAGTTGTCTTGAAAAAATGTTTTACCGGCTCACTCTCAGATGATCTGGTGTGAGCATCTCATTCTGTTCCAATAGAAATTGTTTCAAAGTAGGACAAACCTCACTTATGTTTTTATATAGATCAGAGTTATGAACCAAGAGAATTTTGTAAGATCTCATGGTGATTTTCCCAGGTTTGTATTTGTTTGAATAAATAAGCAAACAGAGAACTTAAGCTGGTTTCTCATTTGCCCGCTGGTCAAGGCCCTACTATCCTCACCTGCAATCGTCCAACTTTACCTGTCCTGCCTGACCTCCTGCCCCTGAGCCTCACAAACACTGGAGTCCAGGCTCCTGTTGGTCCCCACTCGCCTAGGCAGACTTGGGTACTACTCCCCTGAAGCCTTCTCTGGACCTAGCTCACGGAGCCTCCTCTTCTCTGAATTCTCACGACACAGAGGTGACACATGGCACAGCCCAGTGCATGATCCACCCCAGCCTTGCACTGTGTCTTCCTGTCACCCTGTGCAGGCTCTGTCCTGGCAGCCACACTGCATGTACCTTCATGATTTCTTTTGTCTGGGGGGATGGGGCGGGGGTTGGTGCTCGTCTGGGGATTTAACACTCTGGGCCAGTGGGGAATTATGGGAGAAGCTGCATTTCTGACATATCAGTGGTTTCTTAAATGCTCTATATGTCTCCTAGGTGGCAAAGAAACACAGCATGATGTTTGGAAATATAATTCTTCAATCAACAAGTGGATTCAAATTGAGTATTTGAACATAGGCCGCTGGAGGCATAAGATGGTGGTGCTTGGGGGCAAGGTCTATGTGATCGGAGGTTTCGATGGCTTGCAGAGGATCAACAACGTGGAGACCTATGACCCCTTCCACAACTGCTGGTCAGAGGTATAGATTATTTCTATGAGTAACTCTGTGTTATTGCTTCAAAGCTTAAAAAAAAAAATTGGTATCTGCCAACGTAGGTATACGGCTTTCTGATCTCCCTGCTCCCACTGAGAACATTTTCAGTGGCTCTGAGCTTCCCTCCTCATAGGAGCCATCGAGTCAGCATTGCTGATCAGGTCACGGAAATGATTTCCTTCCAGGTGGGGGAGCTCTGTGTGGGTACCTGTCCTACCCTGGCCAGAACCCCAGATGTAGACGGGAGGCTTGATCCTGTCTTGGTCTGCATGTCTTGGCCTAGAGTCTCTGTCTCCTCCGATGCCATCTGCCCTTGTCTTCTCCACACTGGGCATACCAGGATCTCTTGACTACACTGTTTGTTGAATCCAGAGTCATTTGGTAGTATTTAGAAGTCAGCCCTTATTTATTTACCTGTTAGTGATGAACCATTTGCGTGCCTTCAGACAAGACTTTAGCAATGCAATCTCAGGTATATATCATACTCAAGAAAAGGCAAAGCATTGCTCATCGATGGGCATAAAGTTTCCGTTTATGCAAGATGAACCAGCTCTGGAGATCTGCCATACAACATTGTGCCTATAGATAACAATACTGTATTTTACAATTTAAAATGTGTTAAGAGGGTAGATCTCATGTTAAGTATCCTTACCCCCACCCAACACACACACAGAGGTAAGGTGACCTCACTTCCTGTACTTCCAGATTATTCCCAATTTCAAATTTTCTTTCTCCTTATCAGATTATATGTCAGAGCATGTTCCAGCTTTGGGGTGTGTGAAACGTGGTCATCACAGGCACAAGCAAAGGTAGACAGGTCATGATGGCATCCAGCCAAGATCTGTTAACCCGAAAAGAACTTTATAGGGAGCCCTTAACATTTATAAGGCTGTGCCCAAGAACTTCTCAGTTGAAGTCCCATCACAGAGTTGCTCCGTGACCCAAGAGGGTTATGTTAATGGGTTAGAGACTCTTAAAAGTCCCCTTTAGTGCCCTGGGGTTTACAGGATGGAAACACCAGGCTGGCTTAACCCTCAGATCTGTATGTTGCCCCAGAGTGGGAGAATATGCTTACCTGTGGCCACCTGAAACCCTTATACCAGCTCTTCTTCCTAGCTATAAGCACCAACGACAATGCCTGGCACATAGTAGGCACTCAGTAAATATTTTTTGAATGAAGGAGCACATGAATAAATATGAATATGCATGTCTGAGAAAGCATTCTCCTCCAACATTGGCTGGTTTCATCTGTATAAACACTTATTCCTGTACACCCCTCCTGCCCTGAGAACTGAACTCTGGGAGAAACAGGCTAGAAACATCTGGAGCCTGGCGGGAGGGTGGGAAATGTACGCTTTGATCCTCTCTGTGTCTCAGGGGAGTCAGGCCCACAGGCCTTGTGACTTCAGGCAAAGGATTCCCGGGCTTGTGTCCCCTGGCTCCTGGCCTGTGTCCTGTGAGCCATTGCAGCAATCTGGGCAGTGTCACTGACAGCTTCTCCCGGTGCCCTGTGTCTCTGCAGGCTGCACCCCTCCTTATCCATGTCAGTTCCTTCGCAGCCACCAGCCATAAGAAGAAGCTCTATGTGATTGGGGGAGGGCCCAATGGGAAACTGGCCACGGACAAGACTCAGTGTTACGACCCTTCAACCAATAAGTGGAATTTAAAGTCGACCATGCCAGTAGAGGCTAAATGCATCAATGCAGTGAGTTTCCGGGACCGTATCTATGTGGTTGGTAAGTGAGCAAATGGCTTCTTATTTAAGTGTAGGGTCCCCTACACCTGCAGCCCTGCAGGTAGAGCACATGAGACCCTCCTGGGAATTCTTGAGTTCCTGGGTGATGTGGGTGGGGTTGAAAAGAAGAGAAGATGGGATTGGTCCAGGCCTTGGTGGAATTTACCTTGCAGTTCTGGAGACAGAAACAGCCCCCATTTAGGAGACATACAAGACAGATGGACAATGGTGCCCAGGGGAGGAGCAAGAAATTGCTTTGGGAGCAAAGTGTGTTGTAAGCATTAGCAATGCACAGAAATTGAAATATGCACCGTATAAGTGCCCAATAAATGGTAGCTATCTTTATTTCTTATTCTGTATTCATGGGAATTTTATTCTTCCGACTTGCTTTGGGGGCTCTGAACAGTTGCATTTAGCTGGAAGGAAAGCCTGACTAGCCAGACCACAGTTGGCATGTAATTGTTAAGGGTGATGGATCTCAACCCTGACTACTCATTAGAGTCATCTATGGAGCTTTTCCCAAAAATATGGGTAGCTGGGGCTTGTGCAGACCAATAATATCAGAAGGAGAAGGAGGACGCTGGCCACAGTGTCAGGTGTTTTTAATGTGCAGGTGATTTTAATGTACAGCCAGGATTGAGAACGACTGATCAAGGAAATACCAAAAATAAATAATTCCAGCAAATGAGAGCTAATCAGAGAAGGCTTCCTGAATGCAAAATATGGGAACGGATTAAGGCAAAACCCCTTCTCTCCCTTGCTTCAGGTTTCCTGTGTCTTTATGGTCAGACTCGTGACTCTGCCCCAGAGGTCTAATCTCAAGATGGGTAACTTGGGCTGGTGTCCCAGGTCATGCTCAGTCTAGAGATGCCACCACCTCTAGTCACTGCCATGTAGATCAATACAATGCAAGACTCCTATGCACCAGGCCTTCTGCCAGGTGCTTTATGTGCATGGTCCTTCTGATTTCTTATCACCACCGTGGTCTTGGTGCTCATGGTTACAGATCCAAAAGTGGCAGAGCTGGGATTATGAGCCGGGCCTATCTGATGCACCAGGTGGTATTTCTTCCAGGAAGCAGTCTTTGTGGTACATTTTGGCAGCCATGTGAAGACAGGCGTCCTTCAGAACCTGATTAGCACCGGGCTGCAGAGTTTAAAGGGCTATGAAGTGTTTCCAGCATGAGACTTGCTGCCCCTAGTTATCCATTCTGGCTTTCTGGAGAGCAGAGCCGTGAATTTGCTCTTTCTATTGGCAAGATGGTAGACTTGACCTAACCAGGAGTAGGAGTTTAGTGGTTAATGGGGAAGAAAACCAGAAAACAGTGAGATGCCCACGGTGTTTCCTTTCCTCTTCAGGAGGGGCCATGAGAGCGCTGTACGCCTACAGCCCTCTGGAGGACAGCTGGTGCCTGGTGACCCAGCTCAGCCACGAGAGGGCCAGCTGCGGCATCGCGCCCTGCAACAACCGGCTCTACATCACTGGGGGGCGGGACGAGAAGAACGAGGTCATCGCCACGGTGCTGTGCTGGGACCCCGAGGCCCAGAAACTGACGGAGGAGTGCGTCCTGCCTCGGGGGGTGTCGCACCACGGCAGTGTCACCATCAGGAAGTCGTACACCCACATTCGGAGGATCGTGCCTGGAGCTGTGTCGGTCTGACTGCGGGAGCGCGGAGGGCGGAGCCACGCTGGGAGCCCTCCTCCCTCTCGCCCGCATCGGTCCCTCTAAAGCAGCTAGCGGAGCTTGACTTACAGGCTGTGCATACATCAGGGGTTCACCGCAGCTCCCCATGGCGGCTCCTTGGAAGTCACAGCTTTGGGACTTGAGACCAGCCAGGACTGTCTGTGAGACCTACCTCAGGAGGAAAGAAGAATAATACTTGACATTCAAGACACACCTGTCCCATGCCAGGTTCGATACCGGGCACTTTTGTATACCAATTCCTTTAACCGTCAAATGACCTGGTGACTGGATTTTATTACTCCCATTCTACAGGTGAGAAAACCGAGTTTAAGAGAGACTAAGTGATTTGCCCCAGGTCAGTCAGATTACAAGTTAGCTAAACCAGGAGTCTAAACCCAGGTCTTCCAATTTCAAAGTTAGTGTAGGTTCTGTCATGTTGTCTATCTCAGAACATGAAAAACACAAAACAGCTCATTTTTGTTCTGACAAGTTTGCTAAAGGATTCACTCAGCAAGGCAGGGAAATAAAGGTGCTTCTTTTTTTCTTTTCTTCTTTCCCTTATATTTAAACCATTTGGGATCTTTGGTGTGGAAACCTTGGGCCCCTTGTCAAGAGCATCTCATAGGTTGTTCCATCTGACAGTTCTGGGGAGATGGGTCTGGGAGGACCTGTTTGCTATGAAAAATGTAAAAGACTTCTGTCCTCCCCTCTATTTTTTATGATCACAGGAGGCCCATTGTGGACTGGAACTGTCATGGCTGGACAGAACTGTACCTTCAGCACAGCCCAGTGCCCTAGCCTCTTAATGTCCAACAGTTGTATTGCAATGTAGAAGAGGTTTTTGCAGAGACTCAGAATACCGGTTTTGTTTTTCCGGGGCGGGGGGAGGGTTGTCTTTGGTTTTGTTTCTTCAGTGTAAACATCCTTGCATTGCTGGCCACTGTTGAATGACTGGCTCTTCTTGACAGCACACTTTCTACTTTTTAGACAGTGATTTGGGTCCATGTCCCTGTGACCCCACCCTCCTGGAACCTTCGTTTTCAGGATCCTTTTAATCCCTTCTATTTGGTTTTTGGATCAGCTTGGCATAGTTTTGACTCAAAGAACAGCGTCTGTTCTTCACTCTAAGAGATGGAGCTTTCATAGGAGCTCACTGGAAATTCATTCTAATCCCCAAATTGGGGACACAGATTAAGAGATCCTGTTTCATGTGCTGTACTTAAAAGGCAGTAACAGGGGCTTCCCTGGTGGCGCAGTGGTTAAGAATACGCCTGCCAATGCAGGGGACGTGGGTTCGAGCCCTGGTCCGGAGACACCCCACATGCCGCGGAGCAGCTAAGCCCGTGTGCCACAACTACTGAAGTCCATGCGCCTAGAGCCCATGCTCCGCAACAAGAGAAGCCACCGCAATGAGAAGCCCGCGCACTGCAATGAAGAGTAGCCCCCGCTCGCCCCAACTAGAGAAAAAGCCCGCGCGCAGCAACAGAGACCCAACGCAGCCAAAAAAAAAAAAAACAACAACAGCAACAACAGTGGTAACAACATAGTAACTGCATTACTTAATGTCCTTTATTTTCATCATATATTTCAAATCTCTTTAGAGAGTTTTATTTCATGTCAGATGTGCCATTGTGTGCTTGTACTTCTCAGCAGTTTGGGAAGGTATTAACAGTTGATGGTGAATTTAACTTTCATAGAAAAGTTATGGTTAGAAGGAGCTACAGTTCAAAGCATATAAAAAGACTTGGAAAATTACAACTGAGATTTCTATTTATACTTAGATCATTGAGGATAAATATAAATGCGTGTTGGTGTTTGAAAAGCTCTGTGGCTTAGAGTTCAGCTCCTTGCTGTGAAAAGTGAGATGGGAAAATACGAACATGTTTGTGGGAATTTAGAACACACACCTCACTTACAAACACTGATAACCTTAATGAAGCTCTCAACTGAAACAATTTAATCTACTTCAATTCAGCAAACATTCCAGGAAATTTTTGTTTGGCAAAGCCTTGGGGACTCCAAAGAGCAAGACCAATCCCCACCCTAGAAACACTCGATAAACAGGTAAACAGGCCACTTGGTCAATATTATAATTTTTCTTTTCATCAAGTTAGAGAAAATGAGACGTATATGAAGTTATGAGGTTGCATCCAGGTCTTTATTGCCCTTCCAAGTGATCTCCTTGGGAAGCTGTGCTCTTTGGTCAATGATGTGGCCATTGTTTACATATTTGTTTTTCTTTGAGATCGCCTTCAGGAACCACTTCTGGGCTATAGGAGCTATCAGTCGTATTTCAAAGACAACTTCAGGAAAGGACTTTCAAAGAGGAAGTTCAATGACAGCATCATTGGCAATGCAGAGAGCCTCCCCTCAAGAAAGAGTGTTCTCTTTGTCCTGGTGGTCCTTTGATAAGAGCAACTGGCAAACTTTGAGCCCAGATTTTCAGCAGGTTAACCCTATGCCGGGAAACTGAGGATTTAGGATCTCTGTGTTATAAATCTGGTTCTCAATGCAAGGGTTCTCAATAACGGCATGGGTTGGCGGACAGAGACACCTACTAAGAAGATCCAGAGTTCTGCACTTGAAGCTGCCGGTCTGTAACTTTTAGGGACATAATGAATTTCAAGTCATTTTGGGGAAACTTTATATCATCAGGATTTAAGTCTCTAGGCAGTAGCCAGGGATGGAATCTCTTAAACTCTAACTTCCATTCTGAGATGAACAAACAAACAAACAAAAATCAAGTTTGCAGGAAGTTAACTCTCATAAGCCATACCACCAACAGGGGGACGAGGCAGGTCGGTGCCAGATGAGCCAGAGACAAAGGGCCCTAGGACTCAGGCAGGGTGTGTAGGATGTCCTAGCACAGCAGGCTGGATCTTGAGGCGGGTCCCATGAGTGGATAGAGTACCCCTGACTGGGAGGAAGAGGATGAGGTAGGAAGAGGAGAAAGTCAGGTTTAAGGACGCAGGTCTAGAAAATGATGTCAGGGACCCTGGAGTTTGTGAGCACGACTCCATTTTCAGGAAGTGTGAGGGGAGAATAAGGAACCAGGGGTTCCAGGCAAGTGGGTTCCAGGAGGAAGCCCACTTCTTAGAAGTGAGACAAAGTTAGAGCAGGACCAGCCGTCAGACCCATTTGCTGTGCGGCCTCTGAGCTGCTTGGCTGGGTCTCTTATCATTCTGGACCAAGAGAGAGTGAGGCCCAGAGGCTCTGATGAGGTGGAATCTGTTGGGGAGGTTAAGGGGCCCCAGTTGCCAAGGCTGATCTGAAATGGATGGGGAGCTAAGCTCACCCAAACATCAACAGATTAAATGTTCTCTTCTTAGCTTTCATCACATTCTGCGTACACTGGCTTCAGGAAACACGCAGACACACAGGCACACAGAGCTCTTGAACTGAAAGAAACTGTGCTCTCAGGGAAATGCAAATATTTGCTTATAGCTATGAAAGTGTAGCTTTGCTATTTATAAAAGCCCTTGAGGTACTGCTGTTATTCACTTATCCTACTTGATTTTGAAAAAGAAAGTACTCAGTAAAATTTTCAAAGTGGGTAAACACCACTGGAATTTCTTATATAAAGTCCTAACTTGGGGTTGCAAAATCCTTTTTTCCCTTAGTATCTGATCTGGGTGTTGTATGAGATCTTTTAATTTGAAGAGTCATCCTTCATGGAAATCCACAAATATCTCAAACATGGCTACTGCAAAACCAGTTCTGACAGGTCAGATTTTCATATTTATAGATAAAAATATCAACACTTAGTTAACCAAATCCTTTAAGCATTTTGGTTACATGAGGTTGTATTTTCTTTTTAAGTGATCAAACTAAAGATATTGTTTATAGGTAAAAATACAAATAAAGTTTTTATTTATTCAGTAAAATATGTATGGAGTGGATAAGTATATGTTGTGTACAATCACTGGCTGAATTTTTTTTTTTTTTTTGCTTGTTTTGGTTGATATGAGTAAGTGGTATCCGAATAGGAATTAATTTAGGAGGGGAAATTTGAAACATTTCGGTTGATTCAAGGGGGTTTAGATAAACTCATAGGCTAAAATTAATCAGATTTGGTTTACAGAACGGCAAAAAACTAGACAGCTTTTCCTTCCCTAATGCCTCATCACCACTCCGAGCCAGCATTTACCAATCCGTTTGCAAACTGTGACCCTCATCCTGCCTGGCCTGACACCTTCCTGCAGGAGGCCCCCCTCTAGGTTTCTGGTTTCTGGTCTGACTTGGCAGCCCTGCCTCCACCAATGTCACTGTGTTGTCCCTGAAGCCCTAACTGACCCGTGCTTCTCAAACCAGAGCACGTGGAACTGGGCATATGAGCCAGAGAGCTGTGACTCTCAAGCACTGGTAAACGTGTCATCATTTAGTTTGTTTTGGATTTCAATGCAAAGGTCCTATGCGATTGAAAAGGAAAACCTGAGGCTTTAAAGAAATGTGGGGTCACATGAATAGCTTTAGACCATTCCCCCTGTGCCTCCCTAGAGACAGAAGTTCTTGCTTCTCAGTCTTAGGGATTCTGGGCGGACAATCTTGGGAAACACAGCCCCATCTCACTGGTTGGAAGCGCTCTGGAGTTAATCCTGGACCGTAGATCAGAGAGCCGGTGCACCAGCTGAGAGTCAAAATGGGGTTTTGACCTTAACTTCACTGCTGAGCCCTCCAATTTCCCTGCTGGATCTAAGTGGTAATCTGCTGCCTGGACAGCTCGGCCAGGGCCTGGCATCTGCCTGGCTTTCCTTGGCGCCTCTTCCTGCTCTTGGTGCTCTCTGCTGGTTTGTGGCTTCCCCTGGACCGGCCTCCTTCTCCCTGGAGATTTTGCCTTTATATAGGATCTCAGTCCCCATCGCCTCCTCCGGTGGGCTTATGCCTCATTTTCTCTTCCTGTATGCTGCCACAATGAAGATCCTTGGTGATGGGGGCTAATTTGGGTCTGGTCCCACCCACCCCCAAGCTGCCCAGTATCAGCCTGCCCGATGACCAGTCACTCTGGTTTTTACTTGCACATTCGTTTCTAACACCTGGGGATTTTCCTTTTCTTCTTGCATGCTCAGATGTCTCCTTTGTTATTGATTCCTGCATGCCACCCATGACCTTGACACCCACGCATGCCCCATCCCTGATTATCTGCCTGGGTTCCTTACCTGCTGCCTCTCCTGTGGTCTCCAAACACAGAAACCCCACTGCCCTCTTTGTCTTGACCTCTAGCTACCCCAACACCATAGTGTCCCTAGGGCCTCTTGATTTCTCAAGTTTGGAGAAAGAGCAAAAGAGGATATAGGACTTCTTGGCTACAAATTCGTTAGGAAGGTTTCTCTGTAAGGAAACTTTCCTGCTCCCTTTACTAAAACTAACCCAGTTCCTCCAGGTTTGCTGGTAGAGGGAGAAACTCCCAGTGGGGACAGATAGTTGTATCTTATAATCCCCACTCTTCCTCCTAAAGAGGAAGAGTCCTGTACATGACTCTTTATCTAATTTCCCAAAGGACAGCACAGGCCAGGCTGGAACAGTTAAGTGAGACTTTACTGATGACTTAGAGGTGAGATAGGGAAATAAGCACAGAAATAATGCGGTGGATAATGAAGACGACAGGATTCAGCTATTTCTGAGAAGCAGTGTTTGTCCTCAGGAGGGGGGTGTGTGCGTGCATACATGCTGTCAAAGGTAAACAAAGCTGGACGTTGGTTAAAGTGGTGCAAACATTTTATTCAGTAACCACTGACAGTAAACACTGACAGTAGGGCTGAATCTTACTATGATCTGAGCAGAGGTGACTGGGTGATTTAAAGGGAGGGTGAGGGGTGGGGACTGGGAACCAGTGGGGGCTCAAGTAGAGTCAGGGAAGGGAGAAAGCACAAAGTGTTGGTCGTTGTAAATGTGATTAAGGCAGCTGCCTCTGCTGGCTGGCAACCATGGAGTTAGATACTCTCTTCCCACAAAACTGGGAGACAGAGGCCCTGTCCTTCCTGATAATTACACTTCAAAAGAATGGCTTCAGGACCTTGAGAAAGACACTCCTGGGTTGTAGGAGATACATAGATATTTATCTAAAAGGGACAGAGGAAGGATTTACAATTGTAAGCCCTCTTTAGTAAATGCTCTGGGACTTCCCTGGTGGGTCCAGTGGGTAAGACTCCACGCTTCCAACGCAGGGGGTCCGGGTTCGATCCTTGGTCGGGGAACTAGATCCGGTGCAGCCAAAATAAATAGATAAATATTAAAAAAAAAAAGTTAATGCTCTAAGAAAGGGAGGTCAGGGGCCTATTATTAGGTGTTGGCTAGAATGAATGGTAAATTCTTGTGAGAGCCTTGAGCTT